ATTAAGGGTTTGCTTTTGTACGGTATAAGTACCAAGATGAAGCACAGAAGGCGGTGGACAAGCTTGATTGTTATTATTATTATTTTTTTCATGACTCCTAAATTAGTCCTTTATTTTTTTTTTCGAATTTTGTTTGATTTTATTGATTGAGTTGGATTTGTTTTTGCTGTTCTTTTTTCCAAAAAAGAAATGGAGAGAACCAAGAGGAAGATGAAAAACAGAGCATAAGCTGAAATGGAGAGAAGTATATGGCTTCAACTCAATTTTTCTCATTCCTTTTACTTTTATTTATAGGAGAATACAAACTCAATTTAAAATTGAAAAATCAAACAACTATTTTACATTAAAAAAAATCAATAAAATACATTTGAAATTTGAAATATGTAACAGCCATTTCTGTCACGTTGTTGCGTCCTTTGGCAGCTCTGTAGCATGCTTGGTCCCTTGGCAGCTCTACAGCATGCTTGGTCCCTTGGCAGCTCTGCAGCCTCTTGCAGCTTAGCTTTTTACACTTTGCTGCTACCGTACTTTGGTGTAGATCTCCCATCTTTCCATTTTGCTGTAACTTGTGCAGCTCTTCCTTCTTCATTTGTTGCCATTTTGTGCAGCTTTTATTTTCATTTGCTGCTACTTTTGCTGCTTGAACACCACAGCTCCAACAGTTTTTTCGTGCCTTTTTAGGGAGAGTTGTGGATGGAAGGGAGATTATGGTTCAGTTTGCCACGTATGGGCCTAATGTAGAACAAATGTGAGTTGCTCATTGTTCTTGATTGTTCGATTTCAGTGCATCCATGAGGTTATTCTTGTTAGAGTTGTGGTGTCAAAGCTGCAACAATGGGAGCAAATTGAAAGACGTGAGAGCTGTAACATGACTGCACCGTAGCAGCAAACTGACAACAGCATGAAGCTGCACATGGGCTGCAAAATGGCAGCAAATCTTTTGAATGTAATCTTGTTTTAAATGTTTGATAGATTTTCTTATATTAGGTAAAATAATAGGTGAGAATAAATTATTTTTTATTATGTTGTTTTTGCTATAAATATAGCAAAATATCAATGATAGTTCTGAGTTGAAGTTGTTGAATGAAGTTCAGATTTTTGTAGTTTTTGAAGTACTGTGCCATCACATGCTGCAACAATTCAGTGTTTGATTTTTTGATGTAATTTGACCTTTGGTTAGGTAGCTTTTTGTTAACCTTCTGTCAGTATAGACACTTGAGTAGGGGGCTAAAATTAAGCTACTTGTAGTTTGGTAAACTACTTTTCCTCTTTCCCGAAAGCTAGTGTTTATTTTGCATAAAAGCATAAATCGATGATCGTTTCTGTGTTCTGCTCATTTTTCTCTCTGTTTTTCCTCTCCACTTTTCCTTTGAGCAAAAATGTTACATGGTATCAGAGCCTCCTCTGATCCTTGAGAGGCTGTGAGGGAGTGAAAGTTGAGAGTGAGTGACACCCAAATAGAACCCAAACACCTTGAACCCCAAAAATGGAATCTGGTTCTAGTTTCACAGCAAAAATGCCAGTTTTCAATGGTCATAACTACCCAGTATGGTCAGTCAAAATGAAGGCTTATCTAAGGGCCTTCAACCTTTGGGAAGTGGTGGAAACCGTCCAGCAGCCACCACCTTTAAGGCAGAATCCCACCTTGGCTCAAATAAAGCAGCATATTGAAGAAGTTACGAAAAGGTATAAAGCCTTGACTTGTATTCATTCTGCAGTAACTAATGAGATTTTCGATAGAATTATACACTGTGAAATAGCCAAAGAAGCCTGGGACTTGTTGAAGGTAGAGTTTCAAGGTGACAGTAAGGGAATTCAGATGCAAGTTTTGAATCTAAAAAGGGAATTTGTTGTTTTGAGGATGAATGAGTCTGAAACTATTAAAGAGTTTTTAGATAGAATAATGAAGATTGTGAATCGAATCAGATTGTTGGGCGATGAAGAACTCTCTGATAAGAGGGTTGTTGAGAGGCTGTGAGGGAGTGAAAATTGAGAGTGAGTGACACCCAAATAGAACCCAAACACCTTGAACCCCAAAAATGGAATCTGGTTCTAGTTTCACAGCAAAAATGCCAATTTTCAATGGTTATAACTACCCAGTTTGGTCAGTCAAAATGAAGGCTTATCTAAGGGCCTTCAACCTTTGGGAAGTGGTGGAAACCGTCCAGTAGCCACCACCTTTAAGGCAGAATCCCACCTTGGCTCAAATAAAGCAGTATATTGAAGAAGTTACAAAACGGTATAAAGCCTTGACTTGTATTCATTCTGCAGTAACTAATGAGATTTTCGATAGAATTATATGCTGTGAAATAGCTAAAGAAGCCTGGGACTTGTTGAAGGTAGAGTTCAAGGTGACAGCAAAGGAATTCAGATGCAAGTTTTGAATCTAAAAAGGGAATTTGTTGTTTTGAGGATGAATGAGTCTGAAACTGTTAAAGAGTTTTTAGATAGAATAATTAAGATTGTGAATCGAATCAAATTGTTGGGCGATGAAGAACTCTCTGATAAGAGGGTTGTTGAGAAGATGTTGGTCAGTTTGCCAAAAAAATTTGAGCACAAGATTTCCTCTTTGGAAGACTCCAAGGATCTTTCCAAAATTCCCTTAATTGAACTTATCAACTCTTTACAAGCTGTTGAATAGAGAAAAGCCTTAAGATCCGAAAGCAACATGGAAGGTGCTCTCTTGGCTATTGAAAAGGGTAAAAGCCAACAAAAGGAAAGAGCAAAGAAGCAATTTTTTTATAAGAAATGGAAAGAAAAGAAGGAGTTTCAAAGAGATTTCAAGGGCAGTAGATACAAGGGTAAAAAGGAGTCATTTCCTCCTTGTATTCACTGCAAAAAGACAACTCACACAGAAAATTTTTGCTGGTTCAGGCCTGGTGTTCAGTGTAGGTCTTGTAAGCAATTCGGTCATGTTGAAAAGGTCTGCAAATCAAAAGCAGACTCTACATCACAAGCTCAGATTGCAAAGAAACTTGATCAACAGGAGGAGAAGTTGTTTATGGCCACTAAAGTTGAAGCTTGCTGTGCTATGAATCTTAGTTGTAATGTCTGGTTGATAGACAATGGATGACTCACCATATGACTCCAAATGAGAGCTGCTTCAAAAGCCTTGACAAGAGTTTTACCTCTAAAGTCAGATTGGGTAATGAAGAGCCAGTAGAAGTCAAAGGAAGGGGAGTAGCAACTGTTGATACACCAACAGGTATCAAGCTTATTTATGATATTCTATTTGTTCCTAAGATTAGCTACAACCTTATTAGTGTTGCTCAGCTTGTTGAAAACAAATACTCTTTGCACTTTCATGACAAGCTATGTGATGTATTTGATGAATTTGGAAATTTGTTGTTATATGTTAAAATGCTTGATAGGAGTTTTCCTATTGAATGGAAAGAAACTCAGATAAAGGCTTGCGTGAGTACTGTTGATAATTCTTGTGTCTGGCATAAGAGGTTTGGTTACTCTAGTTATCAATCTTTGCTATTGATGCAAAAAAAGAGCATGGTTTCTGGTATGCCTCTTGTTCATGTTGATGAACATGTTTGTAAAGTGTGTCAGCTTGGTAAGCAATCGCAACTGCCTTTTCCATCTGGTCAAGCTCATAAAGCTTTTATGAAGTTGCAGCTAGTTCACACTAACATTTGTGGTCCTATGAAGACTGCTTCTTTAAGTGGAAATAGATATTTCCTGATCTTTATTGATGACTTCAGCAGATTTTGTTGGGTGTATTTTCTGAAACATAAATCTGAGGTATTTGATGTTTTCATCAAGTTCAAAGCCTCGGTTGAAAATGAGTGTGGTTTGAATATTAAAACACTTAGATCTGATAATGCAGCTGAGTATACTTCTCATAGATTCCAACAATTTTTGCAGCAACATGAAATTCATCATCAGCTCACAATTCCTTACACACCTCAACAAAATGGTGTGAGTGAAAGGAAAAACAGATCTATTTTGAATTTGGCTAGGTGTTTGCTATTTGAGAAGAACTTGCCCAAGAATTTTTGGGCTGAAGCAGTTTACACTGCTGTGCATTTGTAGAACAGATTGCCAACAAAAGCTATTGAAGGCAAAACTCTTTTTGAAGCTTGGTCAGGGAACAAACCTGCTGTAGATCATTTGAAAGTTTTTGGTTGCATTTGCTATGTATTTATACTAGATGAAAAGAGAGGCAAGTTGGATGAAAGGGCAAATACTTGTGTTTTTATTGGTTATAGCCCACAATTTAAAGGCTATAGAGTTTTCAACCTTAAGACTCAAAAGATTGAAGTTTGTAGAAGTGCTAAGTTTGATGAAAGTGCAGCATGGGATTGGGAAAAATCCCAAGTTACAAACTCAGATTAAGTTGCTAAATTGAATGACAAACTAGAACTTGAAGCAGATTTTGATGATGCAGCTAATGAATCAGATTTAATTGATGATGCACCAATGAGAGGAACTAGAACCTTAGAGGACATTTATAGTAGATGCAATTTGTCTACTGTTAAACCCTCAAATTATTATGAGGCTGCAAATTTGAATGCATGGAGAGCAAAAATGAAGGAAAAGCTCAAAATGATTGAAAAAAATGACACCTGGACTTTGGTTGACAGACCAAAAAATAAAAACATCATAGGTGTTAAATGGGTATATAGGGTCAAGATGAATTCTGATGGCACCATCAACAAATATAAGGCAAGATTGGTGGTGAAAGGTTACTCTCAATTGGCTGGAATTGATTTTACTGAGACCTTTGCACCTGTGGCAAGACATGAAACTATCAGACTGTTGTTGGCTCTTGCAGCACACAAAGGCTGGAATGTCTTCCATCTTGATGTCAAATCAGCATTTTTAAATGGCAAATTAGAAGAAGAAATATTTGTTGAGCAGCTAGAAGGGTTTGTGCAAGATGGTGCAGAGAATAAAGTTTATTTGCTTAAAAAGGCCTTGTACGAGCTAAAACAAACTCCTAGAGCTTGGAACTGCAAAATTGATGATCACTTGCTGAGTCTTGGGTTTGAGAAGAGTCTAAGTGAGGCTACTCTTTATGTGAAAAAGAAGAATGGAGTACTTGTTATAGTCTCCATATATGTTGATGATTTGCTGGTCACAGGAAATGATGAAGTTGCTTTGAATCAGTTCAAGATTGACATG